TACGTACGTACTACGTACTACGTACGTTACGTTTACGTACCGACGAGAGAGAGAGAGAGAGAGGGAGAGAGAGAGAGAGAATTGTACTAAAGACGCTAAACTTTTTTAAGGTAGCAGGCGTTTTTCATAAAGAAAGAAATAAAGTGATGGGTGAGGAATAAAGAGAGAATAAAGAAGATAAAAGTTTGTAATCTCTGCCTCGGTTGCCTCTTCAAATGAATCAGGATCTGTCCTGACACTTCATTTAAATAATCTCTCTCTTTCAATACTCATTGCATGGTTTAAGTTTACTTATGTTTTTCCCTCAGTGTGATTATGTTCTTCCTATTAGATGACCATCAACTCACATTGTACATTGTACTTTTACAGACTGATAGGGCTGCTATGCTCGATGAAATCCTCGAATATGTCAAATTCCTGAGACTTCAAGTAAAGGTATGATGGATCCTTTGCTTATAACTTGTTTGTTTGTGTTTGTGCTAATGTCTATCTTATGTCTACAATATATCTAGCTCTAATATCCGACCATTTTAACTTTGCCGTCCTTTTATTTCTTTTATATATATATATATATATATGTTAACTAAGGTTTCCGTTCCCCCAATAAATTTAAGGGTAAATGTCTCCGTGCATCGTATTATAAGATTTTATTTCTCAAAAGATCCTCAGTTTCAAAACATTTCTTATGACATAGAGATTTTACGTAGTAAATCTTCTAAATTTTAAATCAACTTTACTCTTTTTTACCGTTCTTTAGAAAGATGCTCGTCTTTATTCTGTTCTAAACTCTGGGTTTGTTGGGAAAGGGAATCTTAAATAGAGTGTACGGGGATATTTTTCCGAATTTTTACTTCTTGAATAATTGAAGTGACAGACCACTCTAGAATTATGTGCTTCCTAAGGTGCAAAGTTATTTGTTAGTTTTTTTTGACCTCTTAGGTTCTGTGTTGCTTGAGATTAAGTTCATATTACTTGAGACGACTGACTAGTTTTCAATTTTTGAAGACTTGCATAAATTCTTCTAATTTTAAATTTTTATTGAATAAGTGAATTAACAAAACAACTTAGTGGTGCATGTCTTGGGTCTCCTAACTTAGAACAAGAGGTTTTTGGAGGTCTTTCCATGTGTTATGTGTTGTTTTTGGATTTGATATTGTTGGTCATTTGTTGATTATGAGGGTTTAAGATATGTAGCAAATTTTTGTATGCTGCATGTATCATGGTGAATGATCCCTTTTTCTTTCGTAATTTATTCCTAAAATCACTTGTCGGTCATTTTTGGGTGGAAGTTTTGAGATTTTTTATTGGCAAATTCCTGAATGTGTAAAATCCCAAATGTCACTGCAAAACCAATCCCAGTGCCGATGACTCTGCAAATCTGTCGTGTCCATGGATTTGAAAAAAAAAAAAAATCTAGTTTGAAAAATTGTCCATTTTGCAACACCTTTTTTAGACTGTCCGTTTCAAGTCTTCATAAGTCCACTAGTCGCTAGATATATACATTTTGGAGCTCAAAATTCTACAGTTGGGTAGAAATGGATTTGGAATCCATCATGCTGTTTTGAGGTACGGGATATGAGTTTCCGAGCTAGGTTTTGAGATGTGGCAGTACACAGTGGCTTTATCCGCAATGTGCTTAAATTTTGTCAAAAAGTAGACCTATTTATGTTCGGTTGGTAAAATATGATTTACTGTTTAAATTTAATTTGCTAAACACTTAAGACTTTCAGTTCAAAGTTTTGAGCTGAATTTAAGTGAGTTTGAGCCTTGAGGAGATGTTATCCACTGTTAATGAGCTTATTTCATTTTTTCAGTTCTTGTTTGAAAAAAAAAATTATTATGTAATGGCTATGGTTATGTTTTTTTCTTTGGCTTCTTAAAATTCTAAATTAAAAGATAATGGAGCTAATATACATCATCCATGTAATGAATTTTGCTTTGTGAAATACTGAAAAATAAAAAGCAGGTGCTAAGCATGAGCAGGATGGGTGGAGCAGGAGCAGTGGCTCAGCTTGTGGCGGACATCCCATTACCAGCAGACGAGGTATCAATTTTAAGTTCTCTCTCTTCTCACACACACTTGTTTGGCCACGATTCATATAGTCCCATTCTCCTATTTCGGTTTTGTAAAACACCACAAATTGCTAGTGATGGAGTAGAGGGAGAGAAAGAGCAGACAGAGAAAGATTGTCAAACACCCTCGGAGGTTTGAAACAAGGACTCAGCTCGGCACTTGCTAGAGCCTCGAGTTGGGAAACTCCCAACTCGCTGAAAAAAGTTCTTAAAAAATTTAATAATAAAATATTAAAAACCAATGAGACTCGGCCAGTTCCTCGTTTGCGGTTCCAAATTCAACAGCTGGCCAAGTCAGTAACTTAAGCCAATCCGGACAGCCCTGTTCGAGTAACTCAGGTGAATCCTACGATTCATTGGTAGGACTCCAAGGCATACAATACACAATAGAGTGCAGGATTTGGTTTTCTGTTAGGTAACTTTGAAATTAGGATTTCAAGGTTACGTATATCAATTACCTTCCACTTAAGGGGATCTAGGATTCTATTTCATCATCATCATTGTCAAAGCTTTTTTTCAACTAATTGGGGTCGGCTTCATGATAAATTTTGAAAAAGAATTTCTTTTGCTGACTACTTAACACAACCCAGCTCCTTTACTCGGGCATGGGAAAGGTTAAAGAAAAATTTAAAGTCCTTACCCTTCTGAGGCCACCTTTCTTAGACCAGGGACATGGATTCTATTCAATAATCACATATACATATAACATTGGAAGAATATATGCATAGTTCTTATTTAATCCATGGTCTCTAACGAGTAGTACATGTAAAAGAATTTAAAATTATATATTGTTTTGTCTGGTTCAGGGCGTGTTAATCAATTTTTTTAGGAATCCCTCTTTACAGTGGAAAGCCGTGGTGGCAGTCACCTCAGAAAAGCTTCACTTTCTTTTTAGAATAATTTTTTACTTTTCTTTTTCTCCCTCCATGTTCCTTAACCATGGTTAGAAATAGGGTAGACTTAGGCCATTGTTTCTAGATTCTAACTCCTTTTGAGCTTGGACTATAATAGGAAATATATGTTGTGCACCGTCACCTCTTTTGAGCTTGGACTATAATAGGAAATAAATGTTGTGTACTATCACCTCTGTCATCAGATGTTGACACGTGGTAATGTTGTTGGAAATTGTATGGTCAAGATGATGCTGAAGTTCTGTAGGAAACTTCAATATGTATAACGTACACGGACCAAATGGAAATATAAAGTTTGCTAAGCCGTATAGATTGAAATATTGAGCTTGGAGGCTCAATATTGAAATTTTAATTTTTATGCAAATATTTTTTATTTCTAAGTTTAGGAATGTATGGGCTTAAAAAGGATAAAAAATAAATAAATAATCTTAATGATTCAATCTTAACAGTTGGCCTGATACTGCCACATAAGCACTAATAAAATCTTTATCCTAACCGCAATAACTATGGATTTTCATGTCCAAGCGATTTTACGGATACCTTTGCTTATTAGGAGGAAATGTCCTATGCACTGTTTGTGCATGGAAACATAAAACATATCTAAATGTTTTCAGCCATTGGATCAGCTGTCCAATTGGATGATGTCATGATTCCGATCAAACGCCGACTACCTGAAGGTGCATGCGTTATCCATGCACACAGGTGTGGGTGTATAGTGTACGCTACACTTGTGTCGCCCTTGCTCTTTTTGTTGTTGGATAATTCAATGGGAAGACAGACCTTACTCAGTTTTTTTAAATAGTTTAGGAGTTTTTTTTTCTTTTCGATGATTTAAGGGAAAGATAGGCCCTATTCGTTTTTTTCAAATAGTTTAAGAGATTTTTTTTTTTTTAAGATGTTGGTGGGAATGAAAACGGTGATTAGAGTATCACCCATGCATGAGATTGGTAACTTACCATTTTGTCCCTTCACCTGTATTGAGGCGGCCTTCTCTTTCTATTTCTCTAATGCGTTGGTTATGGAATAGGGGGATGGGAGTGGTTGCAAGGAGGAGCAAGCATGGGAGAGATGGTCAACAGAGGGAACTGAGAGAGAGGTGGCTAAGCTCATGGAGGAGGACGTAGGGGCAGCCATGCAATTTCTGCAATCAAAGGCCCTTTGCCTCATGCCCATTGCCCTGGCCTCTACTCTCTACCACACGCGTCAAGGCTCGACCTCGTCCTCCGACGGTCCCACCTCACGTGCCAAACCCGAACCCAACTCCTTATAGCTCTCCCTCTCTCTCTCTAACTTCCACTACATTGTGCTCCCCACTAGCTGGACCGTGCCTATGGGTCCACACGCAGCAGCCTTCCGATTCCTCGGCAACTCAAGAGTAATCAGGAAATCTCCCCTCCTCTCTCTCTCGATTGTTTTTCTTTTGAAAACATGGTAAGGTGTAATGGGTAGGAAGACAGAGATGGGGGATTGTCAAAGCTTTTGTCTCTTTTAGGGTCTATTTTGGATGTTGGTGGTGCTGTAATTTTCTTTTGAAGGCTTTGGAGTGGGGGGTCCCTCCAAAAGTTATGGATGGAAATATATTTATATGTATATGTTATAATATATGTACACTACCATTTATTTTCTCTTTCCTTTGTTTCTAATGTCGATGGAAAGCAAAAAGCTTAAAGTGGGTCTCTGAAATGGAGAGAGAGAGAGAGAGAGAGAGGTAGGGTTTA